GCGATGAAGTTCACTATCCTCTGGCTTTGCCTGGAGGCAGTCGCACTGAAAGTGTCCAGACGATCCTGCTGCATATCCTTGAAGCCCTTGATGCATAGTCGCGCTTTGACTGCCAACTTGCCGTCTGGCTGCTTCTCCCAGCGGATAACCCATCGAGAGTCCATCAAGTTGGTGCATCCTTGCCTGCTGCGTTGCTTGAGCGCACCCAACTCGATCCAGTTGCCTAGCTCTTTCGACATAGCCTTTTCCACCTCCACTCGATGCTTAATCAGGTCATCCTTGCTGAGTTCGTCAGCCTCTCGTTCAATAACCATCTTGGTCTTCCCCGTCGAGTTGACGGACAGAATAATGCGGTGGCTCTCATCGTTCGCAAAGAGAGAAAAGATCTCAGACTTGGGCAAGTCGTGCGCATCGGTAGTCATGATTACAAGCCTGGAAATCTCTGATCCAAACTCCACCTCCAGAGCTTGCGTCTCCCTTTCTGTATTCTCAAGATGAGTAGCCACCTCAACAGCTTCCAACACTCGGGAATCCAACCAGTACTCGGCGTCAGGCGGTGATCGGTTGTCAAGGATGGCACGAAAGAAACTGAACTCTGTTCTCACGTGTCGCATCCATCCCGGATCCCAAGGTTCCAACCACAGATCCTGCACATCTGAATTGCCGTCTGGCTCGATACGGTACGGCTGTTGAAATGGTCGCCACGTAGGTCTTAGCAGTTCGGGGTCTGCCTCTGCATCTCGGGGATGAGCTACCCCTTGAGCCTGAGGCTCAGATGCCTCGGATTCCTCGTCGATGGTGGCCTCGGGTGTCGGCCAGCGATGCCATCGATCCGATCGTTCGTCCACGTCCGGCGGATCGCGCGGCCGTACCTGACCGCGCGATGCTGGAAAGTCGGGCATCTGATGCGGTCCTCCAACATGAGGGACGTGAACATCAATTTGCCGCAGAACCTCGGCTGTGGAAATTTCCACCATTAGAAACTGCACCCAGCACACGCGCCCGAAACCTGGCCCCATCATATGTTGTGTACTCGCCTTCGCTCGAGGATCGAAACTTGCATGGTGATAGCCAATCGATTCTCCTGGAAACCACCATGCGATCATGCATGTGTGATGGCCTCGGGCAGCTGGAACTTCTCGCGAACCGTACCCCAGTCTCGTGGCTACAACTCCATATAGTTGAAAGTCGCAGGCAGCCACGTGGAAAGCTGCCGTCGTCAGAGTCGGCAGCCGACGACTGGTCTTCGTCATCCTCCAGTGTCCATCCTCTCCGATCTCATATCCCAGGAGTAACGTAGTGCCCGCCGCCATGTTCTCCACGTAGTACACTAAGAGCTGGTGCGGCTTGGTGTCCCCGCGGCCAGGAGCCGCAATCAGAGTCCACCATGTCACTGCCTTGCGAACATCGGCTGGTCTGCACGGTAGCGTGCGACCCTGCCAGCGCACATCGATGATGCCCTCGTCAGCTCGATCCATGGCAACTACCTTGCAAGGTCCCCGCCAGCCAGTGACATCCTTGTTCGGCGGGTCCCTGAAGATGTCCACCGAGTCACCTACCCGAAGGTCTCCGAGCTGAGCCGCTGGTCTCGTTCGCGTGCGAGCCGCTATCTTCAGCCTTTCTTGAGCGTTGCCCTGCACGATGTTGGCCAGAGCCAACTCTCGGACCCGATGAACATGGCGAGATACTGAGCCTCCCGACTCGTCGTCGAACTCAGATCCTCCCCCTCCGAGCTCCAGTAGAATGTTCGGAACCCGACCATACAAAGCCGCATACGGGGTAGTTCCGTGAACGCTGAGGAGGGTGTTCATGGCCAACAAGGATTCATCCAGCAACTCTTCCTTCGAAACTTTGATGCCTTCCTCATTTGCTTGACTTCTGACTCGATGATACTGTGTTCGAAGTAAGTCATTCCTCCGTTCAATAACATGCGCGTGCGCTCCTTTGGGCTTCGGTCTCAGGTCCACCTTCCAGCGATCTGCCCAGATAGCTCCTTCATCCGAGAACAGTGCTCCCTCCTGATCTGAAGTGATGAACTTCGGAGGGCCATGGACTCGAAACCAAATATGCGTGATGGCCGGGAGTACATCACCCGGCTCTTTTGACTTCACGAATAGCCCTTGAGCCCACCTGATACACATATCGATCAAGTGCACCACGATACCGTCATCCAGGAAAAGCAAATCAAACTGAATTCCTTCATTGAAGGTCGTGGTGAACGTTAAACTTGTCATCGACTTTTCGCCTCGTCGCTGCCATTCTCGACAGACGGTGCAAGTGTCCACGACGTCCTGCACCATATTGATCACTTCACGTGGTAGCCCTGCGGCTGAGAGAAGGTCTCGTAGTCGTTGGGCCGGAGCGTGCCAGAGTCGTATATGCATGCGACGTAAAGTACGTTGTACCATTCCAGGAACCGCTGATCTCAGCCCCTGAATAGCACGTCCCATGTCCCACTGCGTCCAGTCCGCTCCTGTGTCGATCTGGGCCATAGCATCCTGAAATCTGCGCCTCCTCAGTGCCACCTCGTCTCCGCTTGCCTCGGCCGGAGGTCCTGATTCTCCAGCAGGAAGAATGGCTTCCTCCGCTGCTGCATTCGGAGCCGTTCCAGAGGGTCCAGCTTCAGGATGAGGTTGTACGTCATCATCGCCTTCCAGAGCTGCGGCAGGAGCAGCACCTGAGGGTCCGGCTTCAGGATGTGGAGCTGCGTCCTCTTCTTCTCCTGCTCGAGGATGTACTCGATGTCCGGCACCTGCCGCTCGTGCTGCTGGTACTCTTGGATCTCGAGCGTGAGCGGGTCCCGATCTTCTCGTCCCAATCATTCTGGGCTCGTCCATGAGGAGGCGACAGTCTGTGTCGAAAGTGTGTCGGGGACCATGCCGATCTCGACCCGTTCGGCATGCGGGGCAATTGTACTCCAGCGGTTGCACCAGCGGATGTCGACACTGTCCCGGGATGCGATTGTGTGTCGGATGCGTGCTGACTCGATTTCTCCGACATCCGGGACATAGATGAGGTCCGATCGCCGCCCTACGAGCACGCGGATCAACTGCTTCTTCGGGTGCGGGCGGTGGCGGAGGAGCACCTGCTGCCGCTGCCTCTGCTGCTGGAGCTGGTAGTCCAGGCGGAGGATGGTCAACAGGAGCGGGTACTCCTTCGCCATTCATCCTCGGGTACGCCACTACTGTTGGATAGATCAACTTCCTCAGGTCCAATTCGTGAAGCCATATCAACTCTGAGATCCCATCGGCCAAGATACGAGCGAATTGCCATGTCCATACCTGGGAAGGCTCGGTGTCCCGCCCAGAGCATTCCCCATGCCGATGCTGGCGATCACACTCCTTGGAACGCAGCCGATAAATCAGCACCTCGTGACTCGCCCATACCTCCTCCGGCTTGTTCAAGGGCTCCTTCTTCGAGTTGACAAGTCCCAGCATACACATGTTGAACTGAACCCAAGTGAGATTCTTACGTGCCAGATCCATCCATTCTGGAGTTCGATAAATACGACTTCCCCTCGGCAACTCATTGACATAGTGGCGTCCTCCGTCCAACTGAATATGAGCTGCCTTCGCACAAATCCGTCCTAGCCTGAAAGAGGCCTCTGCATTACGACGATGCACCTCGCTGCCGATCGACTCGTTTACCGTGCACCATCCCGCGGTGCCAGTACATTGAGGAGCCATCACCAACACAAAGGGTCGCTCCTCCTTCAGATATTTGTAGAGCTCCATCTCCTCGTCCCGCTGGAGGAGATCTACGCCCATGAGAGCATCAAAATTACGACCTCCCACGTGATGTCGTCGAACGAGTAGCTGAGTGGTGCGTCCTTCTCCTCCCATGATTTCCGCGACATCTACGAAGAAACGGTTCTCTGTCTGCTTTAGGTGATTCAGGAAGGATCGACCCGATGGGATGCCAAGGAAATGTCGTTCTCGATCTGGAGGACGTTCATCTCTGAGTCTTCCGATAATATCGTCCGTCTTGAACTCGCTAGGTTCCAGATAATAATCCTCCACCTCGTTGTCCGGCATCTCCCACCAGCACACCTCCTCGTTCTGTAGGTAGTTGAGCTCTCCGAGGTCCTCGCCACAGTCATCCATGACTTCGGGATCTAGAATCCTCTTGACCCTCTTCTTCGGTTCGTGTCCCTCGGCCTTCCTGGACCTCAGCTTCTCCTTGTAGGCCTTGGCCGAGTCGGTCGGATAGAAACTGACCGTCTTCGACTTCGTCACCACCATGCGGGAGTCAACGGGCTCATCCGGTCCCGTCTGCGGATATCGTGCAGCTCGGTCCGTATCATTATCGTCATGTACCTCTCCTCGAACAGCATCGCATAGCTTGTCTCGGAGTCTATTCTGCCAGAATACGGTAAGAAACTGACCTTCAAGCTGAACATGTTCCAACCCTGTCGATCTGCGATGATCTGAAATCTTACGACCACAGCTGCACGAGTCGGGCAGCAGGTCCAGATTGGAAAAGAATCTCTGGCTGGTCGTCGGGGCCATGTCTTTGCCCGACGTTAAGTAACTGCACCATCGATGATCCGTCGTCCGATATCCTGGCAGGGTCGTTGCCGTCGCTCTAAGAATGTCATCCTCCTGCCAGGCCTCATTCGTAGCTTGGGAATCGACCACCAGCACGCACCGAAGCTGAATCAAGCGTGCGATGAGTATGGAGGTCGCCATCAATATTTGCCTTTGCTTTCGGGTCTTCCCTTGTCTTCTAGTAACGTCAGGTATAAGGGAATGTAGTCGCATCCAAACACCTCTGCACTTCCCTCGCTCCAAGAGTCGAAGAATGTGCTCCATGGTCGAGGTGTGCAGAAGACTTAGGCGGGTGTAGGTGATGTGGGCCTGACTCAGCAGCTTCGTGCGGATCGGATGGCCATTGTCTTCGTCTATCACTATGATATCAGGGTCCTGCTCGGGGACGTCCAGATGCCAAGCTATATGATTTCCTGCGGCACCGCCGTCGCTTGGTAGCGGCGGTCCGCACCCTCAGTGCGCCGCAGGCCTCGAGGTAGTGGCCGGTGACGGCCCGTGCGTCGACGAGTCTGCCTCGTCCTCCTTCGCCTTATCTTTGATCATGGGCTTGACGATCACAGGCGTACTCGCATGCCAGGTGGCCGGCTCCTGCTTCGCGCGAGCCTTCTTGTCCATACCGTTGCCGAAGAAATGCGAAATAGGCAACAGCAGATGTCCTGATCTTGAATCTTCCAGGTTGAACGTGAGTGTCCCCGGCGGTGGTGTAAACTGTACTCTTCCCGGGCCACACAGATACAACTTGTTGTTGATCATGTCGACCACCGCCCTGTTGTGCTTCAGACTGCGCTTTCCCCAGAGAGCGGGAATGTCGGAGTCCGGAACCACTGGGGCCTTGTAGCTTATCTGGTGCACCTTGCCTCGTTCATCCTTGGATGCGCCTGGCATCGTCACCTCCTCCTTGGCGATCTGAGCGTTGGTGCCGACTCCTTCAACTCCGATCGATTGATCCATCAGACGTTGTGTCGGTTCCAAGCCTGCCTGTCTTGCCAAAGCTCCCATTCGCATAACCCATCTGTCACCCACCAAATTGTCATACGCGCCTGGATCTATCAACAAGCACTCTTTGCCATCAATTCGTGTAGCCTCTAGAAATACCTGTCGTGTCTCATCGTATCGTTCGAACACCGGCCCCACAAACCACTTCAATCCCGCAGGCTTGGTTCCTGAGTCAATCTGCTCGTCGTTGGACCGATGCTCCCCAAGAGTTGCCTCCGTGTCCGGGTCATCTATGATCCGAGCCTTCGCCTGTTCAATCATCTGAATCGTCTCATTGCCGATGTCCACGAACTCCGAGGGAGTCGATAGCATATCCCAGGATGCGGATGAAGCACAGTCACGGCGGACCCCCTCTTGAAGGTCTGGCCGTGCATGCGACTCGCACAGGCGCGAGCCTTCCTCCTCCACGTCCGGGTAGTAGCTGTCCTCGTACTCCTTCTCGTCATCCTTGGACGCGTCCACCTGTGACTCCATGTTGCTCGGCATGGCGAAGAAGTGTCTGGTCGCCGTTGACGCTGCCGGTTGGCCCGTGAGTTGCTGCCAGTGCTGCAACGCGCTGGAGAAACTTGAAGCTGGTTGGGCTCCTCCTGTACTCATATTTCCTTCTGTCGTCACATAACCCTTTCCTCCTGAGGTAGCCCGTTTCCGTCGGTAATCGTCAGCTCCCGGAGCGTCACACTTCCTCCATAGATGCTTCTCGCTGTTGCAGTGGTCACATCGAAGTGGTTGTCCGTTCGCGCCTCTCGGGTTGGTCTTCTCGCCCTTGCCCTTGCCCTTGTAGTATTCATGGGTGTTCCACGTGCACCCGGGGCAAAGAGCTCCGTCTCCCGCTTCAGAAAGAAAAGACCATCCACTACTTCTCTGAAATCTGACCCCTTTCTTGCCCTTGCCTTTGCCTTTGTATCTACGACGCCTTGGAAGTCTGTCCGCTCGCCTCCTCCAGTGCTTCTTGGCCAAAGCGTATACTTCATACAGATCGCTGTCGCTCATCTGGGCACTGATGTGGAAGGTCGACTCCGCCAAATCGTTGCCGTCATCATCGCTCGTCTCGGTGGAGTCCGGGTCTTCCCGGTCGAAGAATATTTTATGGCAATTGCTGCACCAGCATCCTTCTGTATTTGATCCATTCGATACCCCCGCAACTCCGCCGAGTGGTACACCTGACCTCGACGAGGACGATGCGCTGGGGTAGTAGGGCATCGGTGGCGGTGGTACTCCCACTTGGGTGCCCGTGTCCTGTGAACTGTCCGTGAAGTAGAAACCGTCACCGGAGCCTGTGGGGTTTGTGAAATGCTGATGCCTGGATTGGTGAGCTGCCTGCGCAAGTCCACTCCGTTCGTAAAGATGATTCTGACGCCTGATAAAAGAGGTAAGACTTGAAAGCTCCTGTTCATTCGTTGGTAAGTTACCTCCCGTTGGTGCCAGAAATTGAGCCCACTGTGGCGGTGGAATACCCAGAGCATTGAGTAACATCCAAGCCAAATTCGGAATTCCCATGTGGAAATTTCCCAGATGCTCAGCCTTGAACTTCAGAAGATCGAATCGAGCCAAAGCCTGGTCAATCGGTTCGCCTGGCCGTCGACGAAAAGCAACCAGGTCCGTCATGCTCGCGATAGCGGTCTCCACCTCCAGTGGCATGAACTTGCGTCGCAGCCCGTGAATCAGTAGGTCCAGCCCCGAACACCATCGATGTCCAGCTCCGTCACGGAGGTCCATGTAAACTCCGTCTTGTAATTGATCTGGCGGCACTTCTCTCGATATCTCTCTGGCCAATCCTGATAGCTGCAAGACCACGGCCGGAGCGATCGAGCGTGCCGGTATATCTGTCATAGCTTCCCACATGCGGATGTCCGTGATCCAATCTCTGAGTGGATATGAGGACTCCCTTGCGGGGTCCCAGCTCGGTGGCGTCTTCGTATTGGACTGCATGATATGAGGTCCAGCTGGTATGCCACCGTTCATCTGCGGGGCGTTCGCCATGACGTAGTCGTAGTAGCGCAGTGGTATGTTGTCCTGGGAGCAGGCACGGGATCGCACCTGCTCCGCTACCAAGTTGTTTTCCTCACGCTCCTCCTCCTGGGACAACGCCTCCAGAGGTACGCCGCCGTCGTCGCAGTCCGTCAGCGCGTCCGCCAACGGAGGTGATACAGGCACTTCCACAGTGCCGATCCTGAGAGCCCTGTTGGCCCGAAGGGCCACGAAGAGGGAGAGGACCACGAGGATCGTCGTGACTCTGATATGGAATGATGGTGGAAAGGGGAGAGGCTGCCGCCGCACACAGGATTCGCACCCTCTCGAGAGAGGCTTCTCACTGAATGGCTTGAGCCAAAGCGGCCATCACGCCGCTCTGTCATATACATGCCTCTCTACACGCTGGGCACTCATGCTTACCCTCCCTTCTCCCGGGAGGACATCTACACATCAACTGGCGGAGGGTGGCGGAGGAAGGAGGGCGAGGAGGGCGAGTGCACGCTCAAAACGAGTGCGCGGGGCATCCGCACCCCTGCAAAGACCTGATCAGACCTGCGGCACGGGTCAGGAAGACGGCATCACGATTCGGGGGAGGAGGGGCGAGGCGCGGAGGCGGAGGACGGAGGAAGGGGGGGGAGGAGGGCGACAGCACGTGCAAAGCGAGCGCTCGGGGCCCCAGGAGTGCGGGGGAGAGCAAATCGAGCCGTCAGCTGTTGCCGCCTGACCGGTGGTCCATTCGGGGGGAGCGAGGAGGAGACAGGAAGAGGAGGCGGAGAGCAGGCCCACACCAGCAGGGCAAGCCGGCGCACCGCCTCCAGGAGGCGAGAGCGGGAGGAAAGAGACGAGGGGGGAGATTATTTCGCCTGCTACTGCTCGTGCTGCCTGACCGCCCCTACCAGCGTGGCACAAAGTCCCCAGCGATCGTGCACGCCGGGCGGCCTGCGGACGGGGGACCCTGCCCGATCTCACATCGTCCAGCCGGCCTGTACTAATTGACACGATGACCCCGAGCGGAGGCCAGGAAGGCGGAGGAGGAGAGGAGCAGGAGGAGGAGAGAAACGTGCCAGCGAATGCAGCGCACAAGATCGCCCGTGCCAGAGTCCCCTGACGGCCCCGCCGGACTGAGGAACCCGCCGGGTATTTGGCCAACTATGAATTGCACTGCCCGCGCTGGAGCGGGATGCCTGGGTCAAATGCGGTACAACGTTGAGCCAGGCTCCGCCCAACCCGCCCGAGCGCCACCTATATGCCGTGTCAACGGCCGCGTGGCCAGGATACCGACCGGCCCTCGAAGGGAACCCTAACACGACGGACTGGCATCCCCCGGGTCCGCCGAATGAGGGGGGCGAGGCGAGGAGGAGGAGGAGGAGGAGGAGGAGGAGGAGGAGGAGGAGGCAGAGGGGAGAGGGGCCACCCTCGACGAGCATCACAACTGCTTGACGGCGATCCGACGCTCCAGCCGCGCCCGCCCGTCCCACCCAGGGGCAGGAGCGCGGCAGCAGCAGGAGCGGACGGCGCACCGAGTCCGTGACGCACCGACTCCGTGACATTTAAATCCCGCCTTCCGCAGAATATGAGACACAGCACATGCAACACTTTGGGAGCAAGCACAAACAAAGACGTATGCCCGTTGAGTTGAAACTGCGTTCCGCGCAAGCTGTCGGAACCTCATCTGTCCTGGCCGCGTGGCCGATGCAGCTGCTGATGTGCGAGGCTTCCCCGGGGCATACATACGGTTTGGTCGGGCGACCCCCCCACGCCCGGAGGGAGTGAGAGGAGGGGGGAGGAGGAGGAGGGAGGAGTGGAAGAGGGCCGCCCTCGACGGGCGTCGCTGCCGCCCGGCAGGCGGACGGGCCTGCCTGAACCAAAAATGACAAAAAGCACGGGCAACCACGGAGGAGGGAGAGGAGGGGGGAAGGGAGGAGGAAGGGGGGGGAGGGGGAAGCGGAGGAACAACTGGGTGGAAGAAGGCCTAACCAGCCCCACGCACGCTGCGAACTCACACGCCGTGGATGGCGGAACCTGCCGCGACCCGCGGCTCCTGCAGCTGCGACAGCACCTCGGCGAAGAGCTTCGGGACGTTGAGGCGGGCGCCCGCCGCGTGCCGGAAGGTGGTGTGCGCTTTGTAGCCGACCGCGGCCATCGTGGCCGTCCTGGCGACCCCCTCGGCTGGGACTCCGGGCTGCCACAAGAGCGCGCGGGTAGTGCGCTCTGCGGGGGTTCCCGGGTCAGCCAGGCCCAGCTTGGCCACGCCGAAGCGCCACAGCTTCGGGCAGCAGACGTAGTGCCGGACGTCGTCGTCGTCCAGCCTGCAGCCGAACGCGCAGCGGCCGCCGCGGGCACCGAAACGGCGCCCGGCGCACCATCCGTTCAGCCAGGTGCGCAGAACGGCAGCACGCACCCGCGGCGGCGTTTTCTGTGGGAACCGCTGCCAGCCGACAGCGCTCTGCCCGCCGGCCCGGCAGGGAGCCCGGATCATGCCATCTCCGGACCTTGGCGCTCAGCTGGTCGCGCCCCGCGCGCAGCCATTGCTGGCGCCGCAGGAGCGTCGTCGCAGACGCTTGCCGCCGTCGTCTGGCCCGCACCCAAGTCGCGAGGGTGACCGGGCGAGGGCCCGGGCCCATCCCGTGCTCCAGCGCCCTCGCCTCTGTGACGCCCTGTCTGGCCAAGTCCTCAAGCGCGGCCGGCAGCTTCTGCGCCGGGCCGCCAATGAACCAGGACTGCCATCTCCACTCGATGTCCCACGAGGCCACGGTGCGGTACCGGGCGCTTTGCAGGCGGACACGCAACTCGTCCAAGCGGATGCGGCGGCGGTGGTCTCCTCCTGCGCGGGACACCCGAAATTGGGCCGCGGGCCCAGACGTGGTGAGCGACTGCAACTGGGATGGCATCTTGAACTCGTCCCTCAGCTGCTGGGCGACACCTGGAGGAAGCCATCTGTACGGGCCAGGGAACAATTTCTGAATCGCCCACTGCTTCAACGACGGCCAATCAGGGGGCACTCCGTGGAGCTGTGCAACATATTGCAACTTCGATATGGCGTCAGCAAGAAGCGTCAAGTGCATACCAGGTGCCCGGCCCGCCCACCTGCAGACCGCCTCCTTGTACTTCTGCATGGGGGCACCTCACCCGCTGTCTGCCGCCGCTGGGCCTACCTCGATGCCCAAGTACGTGCCAAAATAAGCGACCCGCACTGCGCCCCAGGCCGGCACCGCTTGCCGCCAGGCGCCCGCCGCGACCCCGGCTGCCACGTCCACAGCGGCAGCAGCACGGTTTTAGCCAAGTTCAGGTGCAGGCCGGACGCCTGGGCGAAGAGCTCGCAGAGGCGGTCCAGCGCCCTCGGTCCGCTGGCACCAACCAGGGCGAGATCGTCAGCAAAGGTGCAGCACTCCCGGCGGCCTTCCACGGTGTCCAGCTGGCGGTTGAACGGCTCCGTCACGAGCACGAAGAGGAGGCGGCTGAGAGGGCACCCCTGGCGGATCCCTGCGGAGATCTGGAAGCCCTCCCACCACTTGCCTGCCATCGCCAAGCAACGGCGCTGCCCGGCGCAGAGTGCTCGGATAGCGGTGCGGACGCCCCGCGGCAGCCCCAGCTTTTCCAACACAAAATGCAAGTAGTCGTGTTCCAGGCTGGGGAACGCCGCCCGCATGTCGAACAGGAGGGCGCACGGGCAGTCCCCCTCCAACGCCGCTTCCTGCATGGCGGCCTCGAGGTCTATGACGTCCGCCAGGATGGCGCGGCCGCGCAAGAAACCCCGCTGACTCTCGCCCACGAGTGCCTCGATCGCAGGCTCGATGGCGAATCTCAAGGAGCTGGCCAGCAAGCGGTTCGAGGTGTCCACGAGCATCAGCGGGCGCGTGTCCGCCGGGCAGTAAAAGGCCCCGGCCGTAGGATCCTGCCCGGTTGGTTTCTTCGGGAGCAACGCCAGAAGGCTGCCGTTGAAGTCGCAGGTCCCGAAGCGGTTGTCCCCCGCCCCGTAGTCGCGCGTCATGGCCTCCTCCGCGTCCTCGGACATCATCGCCGGCAAGGTGTCCGTGATAATCTCGACGCCGAGCTCGCCGATGCCCCGCCAGAAGCTGTACGGGATACCATCTGGTCCTGGTGCGGTATCGCCAGCGGACCTGATCGCCCGGCGCACGTGCTTCGCAGTCACCGCGCACTCCGGCAAGACCTCCGAAAACGACAGCATCGCCTCGACCCACGGCGCAACCGCCGCCAAATTGCTGACTCCCTTGGCCCGGAAGTGCTCTGCCCATGGCGCACCAGGTCCGGAGCGGCCCGCCGCGGGTCTGTGGTGACCGAGCCGTCGGCGAGCTGGATGGCCGACTGCAGAGCTTATTCTGCCCTCGGTCGAAGGTGCCGGAGGGTCTGCATCGCCCAGTGGCGAAGGCCCCGAAGCGCTTTCTCCGGCTCGCCGGCCTGCCGCGCAGTCTGTACTTCCTCGAGCTGGGTCCGCGCCAGAGCCTTCGCGCAGCCGTAGGCCGCGTCCTGCAGGTAGCGCGCGGCCGCCAACGGCTGCATCGCCAGGCAAGGGGCGAGCTCGGGCATCGCCGCCGCCATCTTACGCAGAAGATCGCGATCCTGCCGCTGGACACCGTGCAGGCCTCGCATCACCCAGGCTCGCCGGCCCTCAAGGTCGCCATGTGGGAGCTCTCGCGGGGCAGCCCGCTGAAGCCCCAAAGCCGCCACGGCCATCGCCTCCTTCAAGAGCCGGAGTCGGCCGAAAGCAGACGCGGCCCGTCCGTCGCGGTCGTTGGCGACCTTGTCGGCGTAGAGCAGCCGGGCGCGGTCTTTCCAGGCCTGGCAGTGCCCCATTTCTGGGGGCAGCCCGCGTCCCGAGTCACTCGCGCAGGACACCCCTAGTGTGCAGCGGAAGACCGAGACGGCCCGGTGCGTGCTGAGTAGCTGGTCACGTGACTTCGAACGGGCCCAATCCAGGACCGCAGTGCCGACTCGCTCATTGAGGAAACAGCTGGGGTGCAGGTTGGCGTAACACCGGTCCAGCCGAGATAGAACTCCCTGGTGTTGGTGCGTGTACGCCGTGTGCCGCCACAAGATCATGTCAGCGCCCTGCAGCTGCTGCTCCAAGTCCCGCTCTTCGCCCTTGTCGCGCCCACCCCTCGGCAGCTGGCCCTCGACCTGAATGCGCCCCAGATCATCCACCACCCAGTTGAAGTCACCCAAGAGCAGGCTGAGGCGCCGCGAAGACGGGGCAATATGTACCGCCACCACCCGTCGCATTCGCTGCCTGGAAGCCCTGGCTGTAATCACGGCGTCCTCCTCGTCGAGCTCGGTCGACCCAATGGCGAAATAGACTGCGAAGACCGATAGATCACCAGTGTCGCCGTTGAGCCACAGCTCGCTGGC